GATGATGATGATGATGATGATGATGATGATGATGATGATGATGATGATGATGATGATGATGATGATGATGATGATGATGATGATGATGATGATGATGATGATGATGATGATGATGATGATGATGATGGTTATGGTTATGGTGATGACTACGAGGAGGACGACGATGAGGAGGATGAAGATGATGATGATGAAGCTGCCGGGAGCAGGTGGGGCAAAAGCAAAGCGCAGGGGCGAGGGAAGAAGCGGAAGAACAGCAACAGAAACAAGCACAAGAACAAGAAAAAGAGCAAGGGGAAGAGCAAGAGCGGCAGCAGGCATGGAAAGCAGAAGCAGAAGAAGAGCAAGAAGCAGCAGCAGTCAGACTCCCCAACAGCCAAGCTTCTGCGAGTGCGGCAGGCGCTCTGGCGGGTGGCAGCCAAGGCAGTAGAAGCAATTGCCAGGGAGCGTGCAGAGGCAGAGAAGCAGTTCGTGCACGTGGGGGCCATGCCTCAGTACTTGGCTCGGCAGGAGATCAGGAGGGAGAGCGAGGCAGACGAGGTGGATGGCGGAGTGGAGGTGCTGGCAGGGAAATACAAGGACCCCAGTTTTGGCGTGTCTGTGTGGCGAGGAGGGATTGTGGAGCCCAACCTGCTAGCTGTGTTCGCTGCTGTGTGGTACTACCTCAAGCACCAGTCAGGTGAGGGTTGCTACACTCAGGTGAGGTGGATGGCGGAGTGGAGGTGCTGGCAGGGAAATACAAGGACCCGAGCTTTGGCGTGTCCGTGTGGAGAGGAGGGATCGTGGAGCCGAATCTCATGGCGGTGTTTGCTGCTGTGTGGTACTACCTCAAGCACCATTCCGGTGAGACTCGCATGTGAGTGTTGGTTGAATGAGGGGAGGAGGGGATGGGGGGAGGACGAGGGATGAGAGAGGCGAGCAACGGGGTGTGTGTGTGGTTAGGAGTAGCGGCAGGGGTTATGGAGGGAGAGAGCGAGGCGGACGAGGTGAATGGCGGAGTGGAGGTGCTGACAGGGAAATACAAGGACCCGAGTTTCGCCGTGTCTGTGTGGAGAGGTGGGATCGTGGAGCCGAACCTGATGGCGGTGTTTTCTGCTGTGTGGTACTATCTCATGCACCAGTCAGGTGAGAGCTGCCGGGTGAGCTTTGAACGGTGAGTTTGAATCTGAGAGTCTATCTTTCCGGCATTCCTGTGTGGAGCCGAGCCGAGCTGAGCCGAGCCGAACCTGTCGGCCGTGTTCGCTGCTGTGCGGACTACATGGAGCGATGATTATTGGGTGTTAAGGTGTTACTTTTATAATTATTGTATTCCTAATAGTACATTGAAGGGAGTGTGCAAACGTGTTGGCTGTGTTCGCTGCACGTGGTACTACCTCAAGTCACGTTTCCACTCCTTCCCCTTCACATTATCTCCCCTCCCTCCACCAGAGCCCCCGGCCGACATGGCCAAGTCAGTGCTGTATCTGGGCTGGGGAGGGTCCAACAGTGGCTGTCGGGACCCACATGTTGATAGCCAAATCATGCATTCACCCCTCACTCTTTCTCTGCTCTCTCCCCTCCCTCCGTCAGAGCCCCCATCGGACATGGCCAAGTCAGTGCTGTACCTGGGCTGGGGGGTGAGCAACAGTGGAGTGAGCAACAGTGGCTGTTAACGCAGACATGCTGATAGATAGCCCAGACACATTTCCACTCCTTCTCCTATATGTTCTCTCCCTTCCACCCACCAGAGCCCCCATCGGACATGGCCAAGTCAGTGCTGTACCTGGGCTGGGGGGTGAGCAACAGCGGCTGTCGGGACGTGGCCTCTCCCTTCTCCAATGTGCTGCCCGCCCTGCAAGCAGCGGCCGACACCGTTCGTCTGCTAGCGCAGGCGCGGCTGCAGCAGATGCCGACCAGCATAGAAGAGGACGAAGCGATCCTGAGGGAGCTGGAGCGGTGCAAGAGCGGCGGGAAGGCGGGGGAGAGGGAGAAGGAGGGGGTGAAGGGTGGGAAATTGGGCAAGGAAGGAAAGAAGAAGGTGGCGCAGAGCAAGCAGCAGCACAAGGAGAAGTTGACAAGCGTGGAGGAGGAAGTTTCTGCGAAGCGTCTTAGCCGGCGCCGGCGCCGGCGTGCTGTTAGCGAGGGGAGGATCAGCGACGACTACAGTGATGATGACAACAGCGAGAGTGACAACAACGAGGAGGAGGGGACGGATGCTGATTTCAAGAGCAGGAGCGAGGAAGAGGAGCCGATGGACTGCGACGCGTGGGAGAGAGAGCAGGCCAGCGGGGAGAGCGAGGAGGAAGGCAGCGGGTCGGAGAATGGGAACATCGGCGGCGGTAGTAACGGGGGTGCGAAGAGGATGACTGTGATGGGGGTGCGGTGTGGGTGTGAGGAGCTGAGGGCTGAGGCGGATGAGCGGATGGTGGCGGTGCGATTCCGGAAGGCCAAGAAGGCGGTGCTGAAAGAGGTGGTGGACCGGCTAAGAAAGGTGTGCCCTGCCTCCCCCACTGCTTTCCTCTGAAATGACTTTTAAGCCGGCTCAAAAGTCACTTCGTTTTGAGTCGACTCGGAAGGCTAACGTAAGAAGGCGGTGATGAAAGAGGTGGTGGACTGGCTAAAAAGGCCTGCCTGCCCTGCCTCCGCCACTGCTTTTCTCTGAAATCCAACTCCAGGGCCTCTTTTAATTCCACACCTGATCTCCTTGTGGTAATCCCTTCCTGGATTCCTCGTAGTACACCGCACCCTGTCATGGGGGGTCGCAGATAGCCGTCCACCTGTGGTCTTTGTTTTGCGCGGAGACTGTGCCAGCCAGCTGGCAGGCATGGGGGGGAGGAGCATCAGAGGGCACTGTGCGGCGAGCTGGCAGAGCCACTGTTTGTTGTCGCTGCCTTGTTTCACTTGTCTCTGATGCAGCTCACCATGCTTGGTCGTTTGGCTGCATTGCTACCACTAGATAGTGATACAGTAACCCAATTTGGAGCTGCTTTTTACATTGAACCTTCAATAAGTGTTTACAACAATCACCACACCAATACTTGTGTTTTGACAGCTGGAGCTGCCCGTATCCCGCTTTAGATACCACTGGAAACACCTGGAAACATAAAAATATGATCATTAGCAGGAGGCATACCAGTAACACAATCGCACGTTCCCTGTACTTCGACGAATCATCCCCACCAACCGATTTGCACACCACGCCTTCATCTTCCCGCTTTATGACACTACCCACAATGCTTGAGCTAAGCAAGGCTGCTTTTTCACCTCCCGAAATTAGGGCTTAGTCTATGGCATCGGGTCGCGTGACCTGCTCCACCAACTCCCTCACAATCAGCCGCTTCGGCGGGAACGATAGCCTCTGCTGCAGCTCAGGCATCCGCCACTGGCGCTGCGAATGCGGCAGCCCGACGCGCCGACGCGCCGCACTCGCAGGCCGACGCGCCGCACTGGCAGCGGAAGTTGTCACTGGACGGTGCGGTTGGCGCCTGAGTTAGTAATGCTACCGTAGTCGATGCTCAACTCTTCGCCTGGCGCGATGTCCCGCAAAGCCACCACCGTCACCAAGTCTTCTTCCATTCCGCAGTTTGGGTCGCTCGAGTGGTTGATGAGTTCGGGCGTCTCGGGCCCACGCGTCGGATCTGGTTTCTGCCCGTTTAACGACTCAGATTCGTTTATTTGCAGCGAGAGCTGTCGCGTGCGTTCGTCGCCGACAACCTCGCCGGCAACCTTGCCGGCGAAAACGAGAACCCGTTCCCCGCGTCCAATGCTCGCCAATGCAAACAGCCCCTTGGAGCCGTCCGCGCCGCCCTTGTAGCGCGGAATTACGCGCGGATCGTACCACCCCGACTCGGCCATCTTCCGCTCGATATAGGCCGAGCAGTGGCCGGCGTTTCGCTGCTGCCAGTCGCGCGAGCGCCACTCGGAAAATTTGAGCGTGCCGCGGCAGCTCGCGGCGCCGCAGCGGCAGAGCAAACCGGCGTGCATGCTACCCTCTGTTTCCGTGGTGGCGTAGTCGTACGTGACTTGCTCGCCCGGTTGAATGTCGCGCAGGGCCACCATGCAACGTGGGTTGATGTACCACGAGTTGGGATCGCACGAGTGGTTGTAATAGAGGCTCGGGTCCTCGTCGGGGTCGGTTGTCGTGTCGTACACGTCGTCCTCGACCATGTACGAATATCGAATCATGAAATCGCGCTTCTCCTTATCGGGTACCGCCAATAAGTCATGAGCGTGGTAGTACACTCGCCGCTCTTCTTCCTCCAGGTCCCAATCGCAAACGATCTCGCCTTGTGCGATTAATCTGCTCGAAAATAGCCCGCGGCATTGGAAACCGTAGAGCTCGTGCTCTTGCACGACCATGTGCGGGTGGAGACCCATGCTGGAGGATCAGGAGCGAGTGGGGTAGTACTGGACGTGCAGTTTGATAACTGGGAATGCTCTGAGAGCTGATTTTCCTTGCTGAGAACTGTAATGTACATGCTCTGTATTATACAGTATCGCCGCTAAATCATGTGGAGGGTCGGCACGATGTTGCCGTGCAAGAATCTCGAGGACCCCATGGAACAGAAACAAGTCAGGCATCTCATCTAGAGGTGATGGAAACAGAAATTCCGCGGATTGTGCGGTGGTGAAAGTGAGAGACGGCAGCTATGGGTGTACACCTAACGCTCGCCAATTTCACGTCCTGCAACTGGTTTCGAGAAACACTCCTAACCAGATTTTGGCTTGTGCAATGAAAGTCCAGAATTTGAGGGCATGAATGGTTCCGTAACTCCCGTGATGCCATAAAACGACCTCATGCTACCACAGCGCATTGACCGTTTTTTTCATTGCTATCCACTCAATATATACTGAGCACCAAGCTCCAAGCTCATATATACTGGGTTGCACGTACCCTCTCTGAAATCGAATGCCTTTATAACAACCCACTAGTTCGGGTAAACCATGAATCATTGCCTAATGGTATGAAATTGGTGGTAGGGAATTTGGCGAGTTTTAGGTGTACATATGATGCAAGAAAAGTGGAGAGCGAGACATTGCTGAAAAGATGTTAGGGGGACAGAAGCATGGCATATTTTTCCGCCTCATGTCGTTTTTCTAAATAGAACGGTGCGCATTGTAAAATTGTGAGACATTTGGGCTCTAAATCAAGGCCGAATCTTTCAAGGCATGAATGGCAGATCACAGCAATTAAACCTGATGCGCATTAGACGTACGCAACATTCGCCTTATCAAAGTGTGTGAAACGCACATGCTTTTCCGCCCTACTCGAAAAAAAAAAACCATCCCAAAAAATTAGCGTTGCGCATGCCACCTTTAGGGGCGGCGGTGAAGTGAAACGAGCAAATACATTTCGACATTTTCGTAGATTTTGCCATGGGAAAAATGGGACAATAATGAACCTAAAAGTTACAATCTCTAAATATCTTAAGATTTCGAGATGACATCTCTTGGTATGTATGGGCACTTGTGCAATTGTATATGTTTTTTTTTTTTTGCATTTTCGCCAAAATGTTCTTGTAGACGAGGGGCCATTGGCCGTGTTGGAATGCACGAGAAATATCTTACAATTGGGGACTGGCAAATTCAAGGGATTGGCTGAGCATCACCATATTGGGTCTAGTAGCAATTAAAAATAAATAACGAAGAGACGGATGACAACGGGATAAACCGATTCATTAACAGCTGTAATAAGAAAAAAATGGCTTGTATTACACGTGCAATTGGTCGTGCTGAATTGCAAATGGGAAAGCAAAGTGAATGGGTAGAGCAAATTCGCGTGCATTTTCTTAGTATCATGTATACAACCAATTTTTACGTAGATGTGACGTTATCCTACCCATCAACTTTGATTTCAAGCGCGTAAAATTGCTACAGTTCCTTGGCAGTATTGAGATTTTGCTTTTAATCGTCCCTTACAGATAGGTGTTGTAAGCATAAATTACGACAATTCATTTTCGCTGAATATCTTACATAACCATTCTATAATGTTCATTGACCGTCCTGTTGCGTAGCGCACCACTTTCGATCACATTGGTGCGACATCCACTAGAACGTGGTTGATAGACCGCTCCTCGACGCGGTGCATTTCCACACACATAGATTTCAGTGTTCCTGCATACGATCGTCAAAACACATGGTGACCACAATTCGCAGTGTAAGGTGCGATAGATGTGCGCGTCACACTACGGGTGGAAAAAAAAGTTGTGGTGAAACAACTGAATAAGTGCGGATCCAACATAAAATGCGCGTTTGAAAACACTGTGTGAGTTTCAAACAGTAAGAAGGTGTCTCAAATGCCTGAGTACACTGTGAAATCATAGAAGAGAGAAGAGGGGCTGCACTAGCAAGAATGGGGATACAAATAGGAAACCCTAGAAGGGTTGTACTCGCTATAGAGCACCCCACTACAGGCTAGAGCATAAGATAACATTCTGACACACCCCCATAGCCAAAGTGGGGTGTAATCAGCAGAGCAAGCAAAGCAGTACAAGCTCAGGGTGGATCACAATGTCACCACAGATTCTGAGCACAAGTTCAAGAAGCAATAGTTTAAAGTTAACAATTATGAGCAAAGCTAGTGGTAGTCACAACGGGCAAGTGAGGAGGAGGAGAGAGAGTGAGAGGAGAGGAGATAGGAGGCGACGGATGAAGCTGCAGACACACGGGCAACAGGAGGCACACTGGCACAGCGGCTACCGGAACAACGCTCCGGAATACTGGAGTAACTGGCCCCGCGGCTAAAGTAGCGGCAGACGAGCAACGGACCCATGGGCGGTTGGCACAGCTGGCTACGACTGGGCTACCGGACGAAGTCCCCGGAATACAAGTGCTGCTGGCGACACGACGGCAACCTCCATTCAGCTTCCCCAAACTATCCCACTCCCCCCTGGCGCACACCCGCTGCTACACCGCTAGCTCCACTCCCCCTTCACCCCCCCCTTAGTACCACTCCACCGGCTCCAACACGTCCACCCCCCCTCAGCGGCAGCTGCAGCACAAGGAGACGGAGGAGGAGGAGGAGCAGGGAACGGTACAGAGTGAAGTCCCCCCCATACCCCTCACCCCCAAACCCTAATGCAGGAGAATGGGGAGTAGGAGGGGTGGGGCGCCAGTAGAAGCATGGGGGATAGCAGGGAGGGCAGGGGCAGCAAGGAACGGGCCCACAACGGGCCTGGTACAGTCGCCCGAGCCGCGCGCAGGCGGCCCGAGCCGCGCGCGGGCCTGGCGCCGCCTGTTCGGGCCGCGGACGGGTCTGGCGCGGCCCGTACGTGCCGCGCGCAGGCTGTACGGGCCGCGCGCAGGCCACGACGGGCGACGGGGGGCGACGCGGAGGTCCCCGTCGCCCGTCGCAGCGCCTCCCGTGAGCGGCGCGCGGCGTGACGGGGCAGTAACCCGCCGCGCGCCTCGGGGCGCACGGCGGGCAGAAAACCGCCGCGCGCCTCGGGGCGCACGGCGGGAAGAAAAAACTGCCGCACGCCACGGGGCGTGCGGCTCAGAGAGTAGTGGTAGTGGTTGCAGCGG